AACAGATCTTCTCTCAGGCATGTACGATCACTGGGGTAGGAATGAGGGCAGATGGCAGACCTGTGTTCGAGATGCAAGCTGGCATCCCAATGCGCCCATGATTGCTGGTAAGCACCTATATGTACTCTATCTCCTCGATGTTTTGCTGACCGTCGCTAGCGACTTCATGGAATGGCTGGGGAACCTCACAGGGAACTTGCACAGTCCACACATGGAATGACGGCCTAGAAGAAGATGAGGCGGAGCCGAAGATTGGAAGGCGGGTCAATCACATGTTGCATCATGACGAGCGGCTCTACAATACCGAGGGCAGGACGAGAAGGCATCCTATGTGGTACGAAGATATGATGAATGAGGAGTGAAAGCTCCTGCATCAGCTGACCCTATCAGACTTCCGATGAACGGGCGAACGTAGGCATTGTATATAGGAATCTAGGAAGGAGTCTGGGAGGTTATTGTATATATGCAGGGACTTTCGGTTCTGGATCAGTCGATTCTGGCCCACGGATTCAGCTTACATCACGTTAATTGGTCCGCAAACTCCATCAACGTGAATGTTGCGCATGCCTAAATTTGGATATAATCAAACTCCCGCTGACCCAACCTCCGTACTATACAGTCATTTTGAGTATGCCATATGTCCTCTATGGAGCCCACAAGGTAAAGGCCGGTCTTTCCACTCCCAATGCCCCTAATACAAGATGATATGATGAACGGACCGGTGTCGTGGTCGAAGATGCAAAGGGAAGAGAATCGATGTGTTGTGGCGTAGTAGCGTCTATGAGCCGCCGACGAGGATGTTGTTTACGGGGATGTGGACCAGCTTGACGACGTAGCCGATGACTCCTGCACAATGGTCAGTCTGATGGATTTGGGGCGGACATGCAACCTGTCACTAACCCATAATCAGGAAACCGATTCCTACTGCTTGCGATATCCTGATGAACTCCTTCTTGTCGGGTTCTGTGGTTGTGTTAGATACGTCATTATCGGTTTGCAGAGGCGGTCGTACTGGTGCAGCGGTTCATGAACAGAGTACCCTCCCGGAGGAACTCAGCGGGCATACTGCGCGGAGGTTAGCCATTGCTCTCTCATCGTGCGATTGCTGTCGGTCTTACTCAGCGAATTCCTTGACGTTCTCCATGGCGACTGATGCGTGACTGTTGATTTGTGGGGTGGATGGCGTTGTCGTGAGTGATTTGTCGAGTTGAATGTATCGCGGGTTGCTGGAGAAGTCGCGAACTCAGGGTAGCAGCGGCCAAATTACCAGACGGACGCAATCTGGCCTTGCGGAGAAACCCGACAGGGGTAGGTGTTGCGCCAAGCACGCTAAGCGGCGACGCTAACTTCGAGCTATCGCATCCGCGTCGTCGTCTGTCGCTCATCATCACTCGTGCTCGCGCCGACAAGTCGACTCTACCCACTTCCCCAGGTTTGTCACTCAACGCAGTCACTCACTACGCAACAGAGCCGCCCACGAGACACGCGACCGCGACCCGCTTGCTTACGTCGACTCACGCGCAGAGTCAAGGGTTGAAGGGGAACGTGTTTGGCATTTGACTCGAGCTCGTCCTCGTTGCTCTCCATTTCTTCTTATTCCTGGTAGCGCACGATTCAGCGCCGCATCAATTCGAAGGGATATTGTATACAGCAACTTCGCTTCGCGCACACTGTACTGGAAGCTAGCAATAGCAAGCGCAGGAGGCAGGCTGAGGCTTCACACACATCTCTCACACCACATCCTGTACCTTTTACATCTCCGCATCTGCCAGGGGCGATCGGACTACCCCGTCTTGCACTGAGCTGTCTTTCTGGACCTTGTCACCACGCGCCGACAGCGGCACTGTACGTATGGCCTTACACTCTACGCTGTTTGTCTCTTCTCTCGCTTTCGCATTGCAACGGACGGCCAACGCATACTTTCTGTTATCACTCCTCTATCTCATCATGCTGATTTGTATGCCAATCACAGAATTGCATGTACTTTGGCTATTGATACTAGCACATCAAGTACCTAAAAGCGAATTAAAGAAAGAATACCGGAACAAACCTCATCGCTTACTGCAGTTGACTTGACATACCACAGCAGACATGGCTGACGACGACAACTTCGACATCGATATCTACGGCGATGACTCCTACCAAGACTCGACCGCGCAGCAAGACACCACCGTAACCGACGCCAACACTCCCAACACAGATGCGAACGCTGCGACATCAAACAACGCACCGGATACCACGAAGGCGGAAAACGGCGAACAAGCGATCAAAGAGTCCACAGAGGACGCAACAAACGGGGATGGCCATCACGACCAGAGCACCCAACAGATAGCATCCACAGGGGGTGCGGCTGGCCTCGACGTTCACAAACAAGCCCCTCAGCAACAGGGTACAAAGCGCAAGCAGGGTGAGGACGATGATCGCCCGACCGATCCTGGCGCGACCGCAGCGCTCATGATCAACGACGTAAACTGGTGGATTAGCGAAGAAGACATCCGCGGATGGGCTAATCAGAGTGGTTGCGAAGACGAACTTGTCGAGGTAACCTTCAACGAGCACAAGGTCAATGGAAAGAGCAAAGGGTTAGTCACTCCATTGCTTTGAGGGACACCAGGCTAATTGTTCTTGTAGTCAAGTCTTCGCTCTTTTGAACTCACCTCAAGCAGCCACTGCCCTGAAGCACCAGATCGAGAACCTCTTCAGAGACCAAGCCCACACGAAGAAGCCGACCGCGATCTTCAGTCCTCCACACGTCAATCCGTTTAAGACACTACCAAAGGATGTTCCCGCGCGAGACAAGGGTAGGAACGATCGCGCTACTTCCGGCAACTACGGCAACCAAGGTGGATATAACAACAGAGGCGGATACAACAACAACCGTGGCAACTTTAACAGAGGAGGCATGGGCTACCAAAATAACCGTAACTTCTCTCCTGCTGGTGGTAACATGGGCGGCAACATGGGAGGCTACGGGGCTCAAGCACCAATGGGCAACTTCGGCAATCCGATGGGCGGTATGAACAACTTCGGAGGCGGCTTCAATCGCGGTGGTATGATGGGCGGTAACATGCGCGGCGGCATGGGCAATCGTGGTCGTGGCGGCAACATGGGCGTGAACCCTATGGGCGGGAACCCCATGGGTGGCATGAACATGCCTATGGGCGGTAACATGATGGGCATGGGAGCCAACATGATGGGTATGGGTGGTGGCAACATGGGCATGATGGGAGGAATGGGTACGTCGAGAAACTTTCATCCTCCGACTAGTGACTTAACCCCCATACTTCTTGGTCCTTCGCTTGGATGATCGCTAACACTGAGACTACAGGAGGTGGCTTCGGCGGCAACCCAGCATTCAACCCAGGATTCTTCCAAGGCAACCAAGGCGGCAACGATGGCAGCTGGCAGAACCCGCACGGTGCCAAGAGGCCCCGCCCCGAGTAGGGTTCCGAGCGCGAGCGTCTATACCACGTGCCAAGAGAGCTATGCAAGCCGCATCGTGATCGGTCTGAAGACCAGAGAATCTATTATCGCAAGATGCACGAACGCCATGTTGCCGCGAAAGAGTACAAACGTCAACGCGAGTTAAGGGGCCGCCCTTCCGCAGACGACATGTCTGATAAGACCTTGGACAGGATCATATGCGGCGTTTTTCCTTGAAAATGTTTCGTGTCTCATGCGACACAGTGGGTTAATGACCTTCTTGGTACCTGGTCTTTCTCTTCTTTTTCGGCGTTCTTAGGGCGGTCGGGACGTCTTCCAGGAATCAATCTCTTCTTCAATTGTTTTGCTAGTTCTCTCTCTTCTTTCCCCCCAATGGCATACTGTACGCTGATGGTACTCGGAGGCCTTCACCTTTTGATACATCGTTGTCTTAGATCTTTTACTGGGGGTCTTGTCTGCCTTTTGAGTATCGGAAATATCGCGCGTGTATGCACTGATCACACGTGTGGTGACTTGAGTACTTTACACGCGGTCAGCAGCTGCCACGCCGCATTCTCGCCGAACTGTTTTGGATACGGAATAACTGTATTACTACTTTGAAGATAAGTGTCTTCGGCGTTCGCATGTGAGCTACTTACCCTGAGGGCAAGAGACCAAACCGTGATCACAGGAGTGCCAAAATCCTTGGTGGAGAAATGTCGCTTCCCAGGCTAATTTGGAGTCAGGCCCGTAGGGACCACCTGCATATGAACCCAGACTGGGGCTTATAATAGCGCTAGGACGCGATGTTTCTACCAAACACAGCAACGACCAATGGAATTGTCTCAATCGACCTCGCTATCTCCTTCCAGGCGCCTTCTATGCTTTTGCTTCCGCACTGGAAAACCGGGTAAGAAGGCGGCTTTTCAATATAAGCAAATGAAAGTGGAAGCTTGATTGTCGCGCTAGCCGCAAGCGGCGACAACCTGGGGTAATCACCTCATTAACATGCGAGGCTTGTAGAGAGGTGGCGAGGGGAGAGTGGGTCAGGCTATATGGAAGAAAATATGAGGTGAGTTGGTTGCGCCAAAGACATGGGACAGAGTGTATATCTTGGACTTATTCCTGGCCTTTCTGAAAAACAGTCGGCCAGAGCTCTCAAGGATCACAATGAGAATCTCCCATGCAAGTGCAGCAGTGCTGCTTAACAGCGCTTTTGCTGTCGCTCAATGTTCGTTTCCTCATGATCTCGACAAGCGGAGATTGGCTAACACAAGGCAGCGACGAACGGCACCGGCGTAAAGTGCCCTTCGAGTTCAAAGTTCGCGTCAATTTCAGCCGGCACTTTCTTCGCAAAGCTGGATCCAGGGTGGAATGTTGGCAACACGCTCGATGCCGTGGAGACTGAAGGCAGCTGGAACAACCCACCTGTTGTAGGAAGCACATTTGATGATGCGAAAAGAGCTGGGTTCAAGAGCATTCGAATACCTATTACCTGGGCGTACCACTTCACCTCTCAATCACCAGACTGGACCGTCGATCCTGTGTGGCTGCAACGCGTATCAGATGTCGTAGACATGGTCACAGACCGCGGAATGTACGCCATTGTCAACGTTCACCACGACTCTTGGACTTGGGCCGATTTGACAGTTGCGAACACGAATGTCACGGCTGTTGAAGAGAGGCTTGGAAAGCTGTGGGAGCAGATTGGCAAGAAGCTCGCTTGTAAGAGCGAGAAGGTTGCTTTCGAGACGATCAATGAGATCCCGGGGACTACGGCTGAGCATGGCGCAGAGGTCAACAGGCTAAACGACATCTTCCTCAAGGCTATCAACGATGCCGGGGGTCACAATCCGAAGCGCGTTGTTACGCTCGTTGGCGCTGGTGAAGATGGGGCGAAGACGTCGCAGTGGTTTAAGAAGCCTGATCCGAAGTTCAAGAATCCTTGGGGCATTCAGTATCACTACTACTCACCTTGTAAGCAGCAACCATCTTACCACACGAGGTATCATGACTAACCATACTGTAGACGACTACGTTTTCCAGGCCTGGGGCAAAACCACGTGGGGCTCTGACGCCGACAAAGCTGCTCTTGAAGCCGACCTCGCCGCCGTCCGTGGAAACTTCACCGATATCCCTCTGGTCATCGGTGAGTGGGCTGTATCGCCCGTCGCCACTGAGACTGCAGCGCGCTGGCGATACTTCGATTTCTTTCTCCGCACTGCAGCAAAATACAACACTTCGACCATCCTCTGGGACAACGGAGCCGATTTCCTTGACCGTGCGACACATGTTTGGCGCGACGAAGTGGCCTTGGACATCTACCGCAACGCTGTCAAAGGCATCCCGAACGCGCTCCCAGAAAGTACTACAGACGGCTCTGCAACGACGCAGTCTAGCTCTGCGTACATCTATCACCGCAAGAACGAGACTGTAGGAGACGCCACGTTGGGCTTCATGTTCAACGGAAACACACTCAGTAAGATTAGCAAAGGAAGCAGACAACTAGCCAAAGACACAGACTACACCGTCTCAGGCGAGAAGATCACCTTCACAGCTGCATACCTCAAATCGATCATCACACCTACCTCGCCCACCGGCAGTCTAGCAAACCTAACATTGACTTTCAGCCGCGGCGCCGCTCTGCAAGTCAACATCCTCCAGTACACTACACCAGTCCTATCCAGCAAATCCGGGTCCTTGCCAGCAGCCGGTCAGGACTTGCTTGTCCCGATTACATGGTCTGGCCAAAACAGGCCTGCGGCTGTCAAAGCTACCAAAGCTGATGGAATGTATCTAGTGGATGACTGGACGCAGTACCTACCTGTGCTACAGCAGGGTCGGGCGACGTACGGTAACCATTGGGACTGGACTGCGCAAGGTGTTGTTATCAAGGCAGCGGCTTTGGATGCTGTGAGGGCGGCGGGCTTGGATACGACATTCATGATTGAGTTTTATCCCAGGGAACCGGGGAATGCGGTGGAGTACACTGTTACTGTTTGAAAGAAGTAAGGCTTAGAACTTGGCGTGTACTGCGACGGGTCATAGTTCAGATAATGATAAAGTACATGATATGCTGATCTCAACCAACGTTGACTCAATAAATAGCATTACAGTTCAAATATATACACTACTCTCTGCAGAGCGAAAGTATGCCAAGAGGCCAACGTCACCAAACCCATCCAGCTTAGACAACAGCCTTGAAAACAGGGATGACGATGTCGTCGCGCTTGCGGCCGCCACCAATGTCGGTGGTAACCTCGATAGCAGCCTCTCCGTAGACGACAACACCGTTGGGCAGAGTCTCCTGAAGGGTAACGACTACAAGGCAAAAATGTTAGTTCAAAGCTATCAGACTGGCATATGGAGATGTAAACGTACCCTTTCCGTTGTATGTGAAGTCGAATGTCAACTGGTCGCAGCCGTGGAGGTAAGGGTCCTGAGCCTCGACGCAGGTGTTCCTCAGCTTGCCATCGTCGCCGGCGTACTGGTCGTTTGTGAACTCGGCGTGGAGGTAGATTTGGCCAACGTCGGGTCCGAGGGTGATCTCGACGTTCCACTCGCCTTGGTTGTCGCGGGGGAGGACGGCGGCGGAGGCGGTGCTGGCTACGAGAGCGAGGAGGGCGGTGGTGAACTGCATCTTGATGGTGATGGTGTTGGGAGTGGTTGGTTGGTAGATGGGAGTATCGGTAGTAGTAGTAGTGGTGGTGAGGAAGTGATTGATGTTGTTGATGATGTCTGTCTAGCTGAGAGGAATATCGAAATTATATACGCAAAGCCGTAGCTGCCGAGTACCACCGAAATGCACGTTGCTCGTGATTACGGAGTACGAGTACGAGAGCTACAAAAAGCATCTATTTTCACGTTGTAATGCGAGGTGTATCCTGGACCTAGCGGTGTGGAGTTGCCTACCTCTTTCGCACTGATCGCCCGTATGTTCCCCATACAGGGCACCGAGGTACTGTAGCCCTGGGCTCTCAATACTCGCGAGCGCACTGGTGTTGCGCTTCTCCTTTTCGACGCGTTAGTTGACTTATTTTTAGAAAGGTACAAGCTCTGGTCTTCTGGTAAGATGGGGCTGACGTCAAAACATCCGACCGTTACCTGGGTACCGACGATACTATATTCTGACGTCTCAAGAGCCTTTGGAGACCTATTTGATGAGTCTGCGCATCGTTCCAGTCTCTTACTGATGAACATTTGTTTACACATGATTCTCATCTCAACGACGTTGTTTTGGTGAGGAAAGAGTCTGAGCTTCCCGAGGTCTTCACCCACCGGATGAATCGCCCGTAAGCATGGAAGAGGAAGTGGATAAGTAAATCTCCGAGCTACAATGCTACTGTGGCGCCGTCAAACCGGAACAAGCTTTTCAGGCCGAGAACACGAGCGCCAGTCAGGCACGGCACGATATCGTAGCGTTTGATGTGTACGTGCGCTGGTAATGACGATGCAAGGCTCACCAATTGAAGATACCACAACCGACCAGCATTGTACCAAGACAAGCTGACCGTTGCCGCTGAACCGGTATGCTAGCAGTCGATCACTTCGACTTCATGCGTTCGTATTGTTACTTTCTTTTGTTTCTTCGAGCATTTATCAATTGCCTTAAGCAGCCATTGTCTCCGCGCAGCAGGAGCCCTGTAATGCGACTATCAGGACGTTTCATCCAAGCCTAACGCGAATCACTTAAGTCAATAGCCGTTGGACGAGTCGTTAATTGAAAGTTCTAAAAAAGGGTCAAATGTGTGGATGGTTGATATTGAACGATAGAAGTAGCATCGGAACTGTTCCTTCTAGTAAAATCATACAACTGTTACGAACTCGCCGCATCGGTTCATTGAGGACGTCTTTAGCAACTTTCGTTTGTATTGAAGATACATTCGATGTTGGTGGTGGTGGTCGAGCAGATTAAAAACTTAGGGGTGTAACCTCATGAAGCTACGTCATTGTCACCCACCGCTTACGAAGGACTAGACCCCAGGGCTGCCCAGCAGCAATGTCGGTGTTTAAACGTGATATCCATCCCATGAGAGAGCGTCATACATACTACAACCAGCCTCGGGCGAGCAAGTGCTGATGACGGATGTGTGCAGAGAACATGGACGAAGTGTTCTCAGAGGATGATAGGAAGACAAGCTATAGCTTGAGAAGGTATATTCTTTTATCGTATCGCAGCCTCCCATTCTTTCAGCGCAGATCTTAGTCTTACTTCAACGCCGTTCTCATGCCAAAAGTGCCCTGCGCCGGCGACCTCAACACTGGTGAAGCGTGACGCCGGCTCGGCTTTGAGCTGTTCTGACCAGTCCCGGATTTTCTTTGACGAAGCGAAGATATCTTGATCGCCATAGATGGCTAGGGTTATATGCTTTCCAATCACTTCCTGACAGTCGTCTTTAGACCTGCTCCAAAACTTGTGTATCAGCGCCGGTGCAGCCAGTGTAGAGGTTGGCGGCGTGAGCGGCGAGATGAGAAGATAGCGCACATCTGGCATTGTAGTTGACGCACTCTTCTTCTCTGGCTGCGGTATCGGTTCGTGGTTTTCGTTTCGTCGCCTGTGACTGAGGCTTCTTAGCCGCGTTCGGATTTCGAGCCGCGAGCCACCCTCAAGACTTCTTCGGACGTCTCTGCTACTTCTGCGCTTCTCTGGGCTAGTCTCTTCCCCACCCATTGTAACAGGAGGTCTTGGTTCATTCCCTGCTCTACTCTTCCTCCTAGCTCTGGTTTCATCCCGAGCTAGGTTGATCCAGTCCAGATTGCTCTGGTCTGCTAGCTTGCGAGCGCGCAGAACTATCTCGTCGGCTGCAGTACCTGCTACTGGAGCGGACAATGGTTGTAGTATAGTCGGTACGGGCGGTAGGTGTCTAAGGATGAGTGAGCCATACGAATAGCCTCCTAGTATGACTATGGGGGGTTCATCGTCATGCGTCGGCGTTGATTCGCTTTGATTCGATAGTATCGGAGGCTGATCGGGCGCGAAGGTAAGGTCGGAGGTAAGACGTGGTCGAAGGCAGGATATATAGTGCATGAAGAATGCGGCGAAGGATGTATAGTCGTCTAGTTCGGGTCTTCCAGACCAGCTAGTGCGTCCCTTGGATCCGTGAGCACCTCTAGTCCTTGTTAGCTACAAACTGCTACGGTAAAGTTCTGTTATGACCGTACCTGAAGTTGAACGTGCCCACCATCCACCCAGCATGTAGGAACTCCTCCACCACGATGCCAACTACCCGATCGTCGTAGCTACCACCCATTGGCGCATATGGGTGTGCCATTACGATACCTCTCCTCTTCCATTGCGCGATATCAACCGAATCTTCCGGCTTGGTCAGGGTATCTGGATGGTATATGCGGCAATCGAGTGTCGTGTCATCGTGTATCGACGGTATCGTGAAGCTGTAGTGAGCTTCCGGTGGGCGGCGCATCTTCTGGGCCGAATCGAGACCCAGCTGCAGTGCTCATTGCATCTTCGAAAGGTAATGATGCTAGACAGTAGCCGATAGGACTATATGCACAATACAGGATGGTCTTACTACGCGGCTGTGCAAGACCGTGGGGTTGGCTCACAGTTGCGGAGGGCGTTCCGCTGATCGCAGGTCCGTGCTTATTGTGGGTAGCTACTGGCAAAGATGCCGACAGACGCGTCGAAACACCTAAGAACTCTTCCAGTAAGCTCCCAGGTGAACCTATACCACTACTAGAAGACTAACCCTTGCGCAATCTAAGTCCGGGTTTGTCTGATGACTTTGAACACTGCAGGTGTACCGCCCCGTGGCTGTGCTTTTCGGCTGCTACCTGGGTGAGCCTGGGCTGATTCGTATAATATGGGCGACTCCTCTCCCTTCAGCCTGATCCACGCAGCTGACTTTCGGGCGTTCACCGATGAATTCATCTGTTATCAAACGAACAAAAATGCGCTACTTGCCATCGATGCTTCCACACTCATGCATCAATTTCTTACACAGCAAACAAAATGCCAAACACCTGTCGGCACACGCATGTGGAAACCACAGATTCTTTCAGCTGCTGTCTATCTTGCGGCGAACTTGTTGAAGAAGCGACGTCATCATCTACTCCAGAACGACGCTTCAAGTACGAACCGCTCGATTGCGAAAATGAGCAACATATCCGATTAGTACACATACACCCCGGTGCAAGGCAGGACGATATTGTGTGCGACCTTGTCCATGTCAGTCTAGCAACCGTACCCGTCTATGAAGCGGTTTCCTATACTTGGGCGACGATGACTGGCGATGCTTCCCTCTCCCAATTTGTAGTATGTCATGGAAAGCAACTGGCTATCACGAAGAATTGTGAGGCGGCCCTTCGATGCCTCAGAAGAACGCACCGTTCCCGCGTTCTATGGATCGATGCTATGTAAGCTCGCCATGCCGGCTTCATATTCTGTAGAGACTACTTACTTATATAACCAATCAGATGTATCGATCAGAAGAGCACTACAGAAAGAAATCACCAAGTCCGCCTGATGGACGCTGTCTATTCGAACGCCTCTCAAGTGTTGTTGTATCTAGGGTTCCGTAATCCTGGAACGATATCGAGATTCTTGGATTACGTAGACAAAAGATCTCGAGGCATCATTACTAGAGATGCTACCATCCCGAAACCCGTGGTCGTGGAATTCCTGCAGCACCCATATTTCAACAGGGTCTGGGTGTTACAAGAGATATCTCTCGCAAAGCTAGCTGTTCTTCACACTGATTATCAGATAATTCATTGGGATGCGCATACGGTTCGGCAGCTCATGTTTCTCTGCAAGAGCCTGAATCACGACCCTCCAGGTGTTCTACACTGGCTCCCTGCAACTCAGCGAGACAAGCACAACTGTCTAGACTTGTTGCATCGGGCCCGTCGCTGCTTGGCCACGGATCCAAGGGACAAAGTTTTCGCTCTCTATAGTTTTCTCCCCGCGTACTTTCGAGAAGCTCTTCCGATAAATTATGCCACGGGTACCGACGAAGTCTATTGGAACATCGCGACTCATTTGATATCGACTACGAGGCGGCTAGACGTGTTAAAGCACGTATCTCCCTATCAGCCTCTGGATCTCGAACTCATGCCGAGCTGGGTGCCGGATTGGGAGATACGTCATTTCACACACATGGAGCTTCCGAAGTTCACAGCGGTGCAGATGGAAAAGTTTGCGGTCTTTTTTCGCTGTCCAATGTCGATGGAATCATTCTTACATACCGACATACAGCCAACAGCTACACGTACAACACACGAAGAGCACGGGGCGCAGCTCAGCTCTCGACATGATCCCGTTTTATGGTACCGGAACCAAGGTACCGACCTCCACCCTCCAGTAATTGGGAAGGTCTACGCTGTGAGAAACTCTAAGATCCCGTGTTTGCGTGTCAGAGCATACCTTCTAGATAAGGTCACTACACATACCTACAAAATACTTTCTTCGTACTTGAACGTCGGCCGGATCAAAAGCACACCTTTTCTCTATTCGAGAATGTGCCGCTCCTGCGCCAAAGATGGGAAATGGGCATCGTGTAACGAAGCTCTATCTATAAGAAGTTGGAATTATCAACGGCGGGAGCTGTCGAATTTGCGTGAAGTAACGACGACACTTCTTGGGGAAAAGCAGGCTTTTGAGACACAACAATCGATCGGGTTCACGCTATTTTCACCTATCAATGAATCACCGGGGCCTCGACGAGCGAGGAAAGTAGAACCAGGGGATACAATCTGGGCTATAGAAGGACTCGATGTCCCTGTCATCCTGCGTCGTGGGACACAGGATGGCAAATCGTATTTTGTTCTTGTTGGGCAATGCTATCTTCACAGAGCAGGGCTAGACCAAGAGTGCCCTGTATGTGGCTCAGACTCTCAACCATGGTCGATGGAGTACGCGACTATCGAGATCTGGTAGCGTCGCAGTGCCTGGAGAGGGAGAGTTCGTCCATGTCAATTGTGGGTACTACTTCAATTATCTTGTCTCTAAAAATGGAGCTGACCTATTCAATTAGACTGTCGAGAGGGGATACATCGTCTAAGCAAAATGACACAAACGGTTTCACTGGGTCTTTTCGATGAATTTCTAGAGTTGCGGTAAACATTAGTGTGCTGACGTACAAGCATCAAAGTGGCACTGAGCGGCATTTCAAGATTATAAATTATCCGCACCCATCCATACCCAAGGCATTATGCCCTGAGTAAAGAAAGACACTCAACTACAGCTCAACAGCCCACCGCTTCACAGCGGCCGAAGTGCACCACTCCTATCTTCAGCCCACCTACCAGCGATGGCCTGTCTCGTACTCTTCCCCCAAAACGCCACCGGCATAGCAACCAACCCGCCCACAATCTGGAAAATCATGAGTTCAATACCAACCCACACGTATCCATGTGACTCTATCCACGGTACGAGCGCAAAGCTCATGGCCCAACTGAGGAAGTAACAGCCACCAAACACAACAGCAATAGCGGGGGCGGCCCAGCGTGGAAAAGCTTCGGTAACCCAAAGCGTGTTCGCAATCATCATCGTTATGAAGGAGAAGCCGTTGATACCGTATGCGAAGTAGAAAGCAGACGCTCGCCATTGATACTGTACTGCGACGCCGTAGAGTGAAGAGCTCAGAGCGCCGGTAATGACGGGTAGGATGTAGCTGACGAGGTAGTGCTCGGCTTCTAGGACACCTTTGTTGCGGCTCGATAGCCGCTTCAGCACCTTACCGAAGAGGATGGCGAAGATGGGCAAGCCACATAGGGCTCCGACTCCGGATGCGACGTTGACGGTGCCAACAAGACCCGGTGGTATGTTGTAAGGTGGTGCGACAAGAACGCGTGCGTATGTTGCGCCGATGAAGATCATGCTTGCCGAGTTGAAGGCAGAGGCAATGAAGACCCAGAAGATGAGTGGGTTGACGGCACAGTAACCCATCTGGATGACGCAACGACCCGCCGAAGCCCATGATGCGAAGGGTGAGCGTGATAGGCCGACCCGATCACGGAAGCCCGCGAATCCGGTGCGCAGCGGGTATTCGGGAAGGTCGCGATAGATCTCAGAGTCTTTTTCGCGATCTTCGTAGACTGTCAGCTTTTCGGTGGCACTCTGCAACAGAATGAGCCCGTTGAAAGCTACAGTCGGCCTCTTGAAGTATGTTTCCGGATAGAGGAAGAACGTGACGACGAGTGAGATGACGACGGGGATGGTCCAGTAGTGGTAGAATCGCCGCCAGTTGTTTCCGTGGTCGGCTAGGACAGGTACCAGTGCAACGCCCGAAGTGCCAAAGCATCCTGCCATGCACCACATGAGAGCTACCGCTACTGATCTCTGGTTGATGTATGTGAGGTCAATGACCATTAGGAAGGCCTGATGTTGTTAGTAGATAGATTGATAGGGGAATTGCAACCCCACTTACAAGAGATAACGCAAGGCCCTCTGCCAAACCGAGGAAACAGACTGCGGCCACGAGCGAACAGAAACTTTTCGCTTGACCAGCCCATATGATGGCACCCAGCTCGACAAGGGACGCGATCAAGATCGTAGGTCGGCGACCCAACCCGATTGATACTGGCACCCACATCAAGCACCCGATGCCCATGAGCATGGTCGGGCCTGTAACCAACGCCTTGATCTGATAATTTGGTATGTCCTAGATGTAGTATGTGAGCGGTATTCGTCTCGGATAGCTATAGAATGCAGCTTACCTCATCCTGGAAATCTGCTTGGATACTATCGAGTATGACTGACGCTGCTTGAGCCGCAGTGAGACAGATGATAGAGTAGAGAGCTAATGCGAACAGCGCTCCGGCTGTCTTCCACCTGCCCCAGTTCAAAGGATCGGCTTTGGAATTCGATGGCATAGGGAGTTTGAGCGTTCTTCCATCGTTCGTGATGAGGAATGTGCTGCCGGCGAGGTTGTATGATTCGCGCTTCGAAGGGTCTGATGTGCCTGGGGTTGATGACCTAGAGCGGTACCCCATAATCGAAGGTACGGATGGCCTCTTCCCGGATGCATCTCCAGTGATAGGTGCGTATATAGGGTGTGGTTCTGAGACTGGAGGAGAGTTGAGTGGTGGAGCCAGCTCCACCATCGGGTGCGGATCTTCCAACGAGGAAGGAGTCCCGTTGGAGTATGTTTCGGACATCATGATTTCCATGATCGGAGATGTTAAGGAAAGACTGGCGACACGAGTCACCACACAAGTGGATCGTGAACGGACGGGGGGACTAACAAACGAAAAACGACTGAAGGATTGACAACCTGGAAAGCGTGGCGGTCGCTACGATCTATATCCACAATTACTCGAGGCTCGCGCTTTTCGGCGTTCGCGGGTGCGACCGCACTACTGTCGATCATATCTAGAGTTGAGGCTTGGAAAGAAAGTATAAGCTCCTGTCTCTCCATCTGAAGCTCGCCAAAGCCACCGCATCACACCGAGAGCAAAATCGAGCAAGGACCTATCGGCATAACTTCAACGCTTCGTGCGCAAGAGGCAGATCCTCGTACCTGTTGGAGCAGCGTGCGCGAGCACGGGAGATGCCTGAAATCGGCCGATTGGTCTGATCGATTATCACGAACCCGATGGCCTGGGGTCGCGTGTTGGGCCTCAAACATCAACGTGATCTTCCAAGAGAACGGGCAAGGCTACGGCCAATTTGCGGTACCATAGCGTTTCACCTACCGTGCTGATTCAGAATGAGTGACAGCGGCTTTCAACGGCTGCCAGTGCACCGTGTCCGGAGAATGACCGACGATTGCTATTCGCCGTCCATCGACGCGTTTCGGAGCCTCAAGGAGAGGTCTGCGAACAACTGCCCCGAGGTCTGGGCTAAAACATCGTTATGTTTGATATGTAGCTAGTATCTGTATTTGTGAGTATGCTGATCATGCGAACGACAAGCAATTATGGCCTGACGGTGTTTACGCATCCCGAGTCTCCTCGGTGCTATACCTGCGAAGATCCGGGGAAGCGAGCTCCACGTCATCCTTCTCACCGCAGCTGCGAAGGCCTCAAGCCTATGAAACCAAGAAATGCTTGTCGATCAAGCATACGTACAACGGCCGCATGCGTGCAGCGGAGAAATTGTAAGATGAGGCTGGTGAGAACGTTGAAGACTTGGCTAGCTAAGGGCGCGCTATTGATCAAGGGTCCCACGCCACGTGTAATGATCAGCCGAACAGGCGTTTGCAATTTGAGTAAGGCGCCCAACTCGATGCTTACGGCATCACGATGTTCGAGTGTATCGAAGCCATGCAGAGAGGATGGCGCTGGGCCCCAGAGGTAGAGATGGGCACCTCCAGAGCTTGGCATAATCGGGCAACGAAACTGTTGGCGAGGTAGCGCTGAGGTCCTGGAACATCCCGAGGTCATGCACATCTGGCACACTGGGAATTTTGAGTAGATGGACGCCAAGCATCACGACATCTACCAGGGAGGGGACTGTATTCGTCCGGACGGTCGCCAAGGTCAACCCAAAGATGAGCCCCCAAACCCCCTTATTCCTAACTTCCACCAACAACGTTTGGGTTCGCGAGCCAAATAAGCTCTAGACTACAAGTACTGCCACAAGACGTGCGGACGCTAAGAACCATATGTCGGACCGAACCCGTCTGTCACAGAACGAAGCTATCGTTCAGTCATCCCTATGAACGCTTGATGACAAAGGCGAATGAAGAAGCCAAGGCCATTACTCATCTCCTTTGCTGACTTGCATCTGGGCCAGCTTGAAATTGCAAGATCGATACCCAACTATCAGCAAACTAATCCTGCCGATCACCACCTGCCTACTTGAGAACCGTACAACAGAACTACTTGAGCTTGGGAAGCTCCGGATTGCTTGGCCTCCGTGGATGTTGACGAGCCTGACTTCTTGCGCTCCTGTTTGCGCATGTTGACACCCGCCGGCGCGTTGAACCCGACTGCTGGAGTTAACTCCGACGAGCAACTCGGACCATCCATGCAAGCCTTGCGAGCCTCGCTCTTAGAGATTATGCTGATCACTATTCAATTGTAAGTGCATATGTAGTCAAACGCTATGGCTTCAAGCAAGGTGTTTCTACCAGTGTAGTGGGAGTCAGAGAAACGATAGCGGTTTCGATAGGATATGCTAAAGATCAGCCAGTGAGCCCCAGGATTGCGTTCAAACGATAACCTTCGCTGGAGTGCATGGTCGCAGCGATACTTCCATTCTACATACAGTTGGTGTGAAACAAGCTGACGGTCACAAGGCCATTATCTTACTCAACACCTTGCAACTGGGAAGCACATCGTCACTCCATCACAGTACCAAGACAAGAGTCCGGGAGGGCGCGGAAGCAATCGAAAACGGCAAACACCGTATCCACCGTATGAGGATAGAGATATCTTATGGCCGTAAGTTCCTTCCGAATAAGGACGAAGACTGCTGCAGGAGGACAACAATTGGCATGCATGAATGAAGATCGATATCAATATGGATGGGGTTGGGGTAACATGCCCCCGAAGAAACCACCGGATTTTGGAGCAACCTCTCCGCTCTTATCATGACATGATCAATCAGGCTGTACGGGTAAACACAGCGACAGAGTTTCTCGGGGTCTTCCTTTAGAAATCGCGAAAGTTTCATTCCGACTACATAAAGATGCCTCTAGAAGATCCGAATAAAAATCTTGGGGTATCAGGTGCTAGAACTAAAGCGTAAAAAGAGATGGTGGCAAAGCCAAAGGAAATGTGAAAACAAAAAAAGGTACGGTACAAATACCGCCCATCATCGTCCGTCGTGTCTGACTCGATTGAACGCCGCTTAGGAAAGGTGTGTCGTGCAGACACGTTGTGGACAGTGAAAAACACCGAGACGTCGCCCTCTTGGGCGAGTCTGTGGGAAGTGTGTAGGTTGAAAATGTAACGTAGAAGCGAAACGGATGCCATAAAAACTGGGCAACGACAGCTCAGCCGTTGTACCAGCCGTTGGCGCCAACTGTTGCCTCTTCTACTTGGCGTTGAGGTATCAGCGGTGTTGTGATATCATATGCTTCGATGGACATCCGCCAAGAGGGGAAGTCGAGGCTGAACACGGCCTGGTGTTTTTGTACGTCTCTCTCTCGGTGTTCTGAGACGCCACTGGGTGCTGCAGGTACTGGTAGTAGTTAGTATATGTACGACTCCATTAAACTCGCAGACTTACAAAGTAGCGGAAGTCCATGTGCGTCTTTGACTATCTTGGCATTTCCTTCCTTTACCAGGAAACTGATATAGAAAAGGTTCTCAACCGTCTGCCCAAAGTCGTGAGGGTTAATTGCGAAATCAAGCAAATTAACTGCGGGTTCTTCTTCTTTGGTCATGGCGATTCTGTGGCGTCTAAGGGCAGCGATTGGAGCGTCGGCAGTATACTCATCATCTGGGATTGCGTCGATTTCTTCTTGAACCAACGTTTGTGAGACTGTGATATGCTGTTCCAAGCGTGACCTGATACCTCTAACCAAAGTCGTCAAGTTGTTGCTCTCATTTTGCTGAATGTCACCGGTTTGAATCTCCTGGGGGCGAGTTGCTGGACCAAGAGGTTGCCGTTGCGATCGAGCTTTCTTTTGAGTTACACGAACGCGCCTCTGGACTGAGAGTGGGCCGAGCAAAAAACTTGATGTTGGCGGTCGCCTGTTGCGCGGGAAGCATGCTCGCCGACCTAGTAATGCCCAGTCGAGCCCATCTGGATCTTCCTCGTCGTCATCGCCTACGGCTAGTGCGGGTGCGTCTTCCTCGCCTGCGATGTGACCGCCGGATTTCATAAAGTATATGCATTTTGAAACGAATTGATCCAGATCGATGCCTACACCAGAGTTGCCTAAGCTGTTGTTGAGCTTCTTGCCTGCTAGGTCGCTGGCGCTGACGAGGAAGCAGGAGTCAACGGTAGCGTCAGCCGTTTGTCGCACTTTGCCGAACAAGCTGTTTTGTGTCTTGATAGCATCAAGCAGTCCGCTGTCGCGTGATTTAACATAGTCATCGCGATTATCTGCTGTGGTCAGTGATGTGCATGCGACGTGGACCAAATTGCTCGACTCACCTTCCAGCATACGATGATTATCGCGCATGTTTGCCCGCAGTCTCCTTCGCTGCTCGGGGTTCTGGTTTGGGTTGTAGTACTTCTGGTCGCCTTCCTCATCTGACTCTGGTGGGGGCTGCGAGGGCGTTTCCACTTCGTGCATGTCCTCTTCCTCCTCCTCCTCCTCCTCCTCGTGTTCGTCGTTTCCATCATCGTAGATTTGCGGCTGAGCCATTGCGTAGTTGTCCGTTCTCCTCCTCTTACTGCCGTTGCCAGTTGTTGAGCCCGAGTCGGGGGTCGGCATACGCACCGACGCGCTGCGCATGCCACCAGCCTTGCCTCGTCGCGGCGTGTTTGCGCGTGTCTCAGGCTGTTCATTCTCTTTGTCCGAGTTCATTGAGCGCGTTGGGCTGAGAACGGAATAAGACGTGGTGCGCGCATTGCTATCGTTCCGGGGCGCCACAGAGGGGTCGCGATAAAGAGAGTCGACGGTGGAAGCGCGTGTCTGGGGGGTAGCCGAGAGGTGTGTGTTGAGACGCGCCATGCCGCGTCGTGAAAGTGAAAGCGAGTAAGGGAGCGTTGGAGGGGTATGGCAGGGCAATGGTGGTGGTGATGCGGGCGATGTCCTGTGCCTGGGACGCGGTTGCCGAATGTGCAGAGGCTAGCGCGACTTGCTAGAGGCAAGTGCGACCGCGCTCGTCAGCCAAGCCGTGCAGCACGCGAAAGGGCTCTTTCCATTCGCGGACCCCTGCATGCGCGTCGGCTTGTGGAGCTTCTGACCCGCATGGCTTCATCCAGTGCGCAGTGCAAGTGTCTCTCCTTCACCCCGCCAGACGATGCGATGAACGGGCGTTCCCGCTAGCACCCTCGAAACCTGTCATGTGCTGGTAGGCGATAAGACTTGCACATGCCTCACACCCATGGCATGCCGTAGCATCCAGCTTCCCCACTGCGCACGATGGAAGCCTTCAACTTTGCGACGTCTCTCGACCTGACCGAGTTGGCGGTCCATGTCAGAATGTAGGCATCCTCGCTGTAGTAGTACTGAAGTCGTGCTGAGTAATGCAGAGATCGTCTTGATGGGAACCAGAAGCCCATCCCGTACTCGGTGTTGTTGAAGAGGCCGGAC